TATATATATATACAAGACTTTGGTGTCCTTCATGTATGTATGATGTATGTCTCTACTCAAGCATACATTTGGATACATTTGCTCCATTTGGACCAGAACATCCCATCATAAGAACAGTTTCTTCCCCTCTGCCGTCAGACTCTTGACCATTTAGAACATTTAGAACATGTGTCTCTAAAACTCTGCCTTGGCCACTTTATCACTGGTTTCTTAAACAGCACAACTCTGACTATATTGTTTTTCTGGTGACTTTTTATCATTGGATCTAACTGCACTACGCCAAATATATTGTCTGCTCCTAATACTGTATTGAATTCTGTATTTTTTAGTATATTTTTCCTTTAGTCTTTGTATTTTCTTCTGTTGTTATATTTTATACCTACTGCACCTTTACACCGAAGCAAATTCCTAGTCTGTGAATCCTGTTCATTGACAATGGCAATAAATCTGATTCTGATTCTGATTCTGATACAAGTCGTTGACTGAAAATATACACCATGTGTGTCAAATTAAGGCCCACATGACTTCTGTTCGGCCTGCCAGAAATGCCTAACTTAACTTCTGAAGTGTACTCCAATAGATTAAAAATTGCATACAGATTAAATCATAAAACTAGAGTTGTAGGTGGAGATGTGTGATAAAATGTGTCTGTCCTAGAACACAATTTTTCAAGCTGCACACACAAAAAGTGTTGTATAATAAAAAAAATTAGGTGACCAAAGCAACACAGCCACATGGCTCATTGGTCACTTGGTCACAAACTCTCAGAATTCAGTAAGAAAACTTCGAGGGAATATTATTTGGGGAAATTTGCTAATTTTCTTGCAACAAACTAAAATTTTGAGTCACCAACTAGTTTCCAAACCATTGCAGCCCAGTGAGATTTTGTGGTTTGGACTAAAAAGCACAAGGATATGGTTTGATGGATTTCATATTGTAGAATAAAATTGGTATTTTGTTAAATCAAGTACAGCAATGACAATTTAAACGAAAAATGACTTTTAAATCGATAAAACCAATGTGTAAAATTTAGAACCGATTACAATCATGTTAAAACTGATGCTGGCTTGAAATTGAGGAAAGGTTGATGCTGTCGCTCCAGCTTAATTCGTCACTTGATCTTTAACACACAGTTTGCTGTTGTGACACACTTGCTGGAAAGCGCATGCTTTGTTGGATGGAGTTGTCTTTAATATTTGCACACTAACAATCACTCTGGGACCTGACAGACAATGCTGAAAGACTTAACACTGGGCAAGTTGACAGTGATTGTCTTTGAGCAGCAGAACAACAAGACCGATTGTTCTAAATCTCTCTATCTGCTCGCCAGTTTTGTGTGAGAGCTGGGCGGGTGAAAGCTAAAGGAATACTCTGCTTTCCGCTCTCACGTGGTGCAGACTTTTGCAACAGGTCAGAGGCCAAGGGTTTCTCTCCAGCACGGCCATGTTTTAAACTGCATTTACCGCACGAGTCTGGAGGCATGGAAAGAAAACACATGGATATTCATCAAAGCTATATTTGGCGTGGATATAAAAGACGCTCTCAGATGCCACTTTCAATTTCCACGTGCAGTGTGAGACATAGTCAGGGACAGAGAACCTGGCCTAGTCCTTGGGGTGATACAGTAAAATAAGTACATTCATGTAGCGTTCACACAGACCCATCCACTCCCCAGATGAATATAATTAACTTTTTTTTTCATATTTGACGAGCACACAGCAGAGTCACTGTGAGGTTTAACCCAAACTTCTAAAATCAGGCTCCAAATATGCAGGCAATCAAGACTAAAGCCCACAATTTCAGCTGAAGGTCCATCGAGACAAAGACCAGGGATGTTGGGTTGTTGAGCACCGAGGGGTACATCAAGCCTGGCAAGCAATTGCAGAATCTTTTTCATCTCTAACATAACAGCAACAGAAACACGGGCTGCAGATGTTTTCTGCCAACATGAAGGTCCTTCAGTTTCATCCTCATTTTGAAGAAAAAAGCCTTCATGAAGCGAAAACCTCAGGTCTTTATAATCACACGACTTTTTTTTCTGCCACTACTTTATTTAGAACAATTAGCTTCCACCCTCAGACTTGAACTTTACCACGCTGCTCACTTTTTCTTTTTATGGAAGAGGGGGTTGTGCGTGTGTGAGTGAAGCAGTCTATCAACTGCAGTGGACTTGCATGACAGAGATGAGGTGAGACGGCTGGACTTCAAAGCTGCTTTTGTAGCTGGAGACCCTAGCCCTCCCCTCTCTCCTGCTTCCTCCTCCTCTGCCTGCTGGCTCCGGAGCATAAATAAAGCTCTATAATGGCTCTGTAAAGCTGCATTTTGCTGTCAGCGTCTTTAGCAATTACTGTATCACCGCCAAGCTCTGAGCTCCAAGAGCAGCGAGCCACCTTCTCTGCAGATGTCTGCTAAACAATATAAACAAGAGTAGTTTTTGTTTTGCCGTCAGTGCATTTCTTTTTCCGGGGTATCTTCTACAGGATGTACCACTGCAGTTTGTAAGGATAAATATAGAAACTAGAAACGTGCATTTGCAAAAACTCCATTTTTCAAACTGGAAAAAAAAAAAAAAACCCGATGGAAGGCACTGGGAAGTGAAAGGACATATCTGACTCCATAAAGTTCTCTGAATTATCTGTCTTCCCAAGTATTTGGCTCGGGTCACAGTCCTGCTGCTGTTCAAAGGAAAACGCTACGAGAACAAACCCTCAGTGAAACACGACACACTCTGGAGTCACAAATCAACATGAGGGGAATACATGTTCTCAGACTTTGGGTGCTTAAATCTAGACGGTCCAGGTTAAAAAGCTACGTTTGTGGCTGAGTCGCTTTTGAAATCTGTATGTAACATGGTATGCAAATGTCTGCAGTTTCTGTGTGTGTGTATATGTGTGTGTGTGTGTGTGTGTGTGTGTGTGTGTGTGGACGCCTGGTCCACGGCTCTTGTCTGCACGCTTTCAAAAGGTCACAGAGGTTAGCCACGGAAAGCCGAGGGCTTAGGCGTCAGGAAATTAAACATGAAATGAAAACAAGCCCCAGTTTGAACATTCTCCCATCTCACTTTCCAATATCCCCTCTTCCCTCCGCTGACTTAAAAGGGAGGTGGGAGGAGAGTGACATGGAGGGAGAGGTCGATGTGTTTGGGGGTGCAGAGGGACAGATGATGATGAGCTTCAGGAGAGAAGTGGGAGTAGGGGGACGGAGATTTAGATAAGGAAAGAAGTGAAATCATCTTGATTTGTAATGATGGAGATGACAGCTAATATAAATTTTGTTTTAAAATACCAACACTTGAGACATTCAAGTGGCTGCTGAGGATAATATTTATGACATAATGCATTTCTTTAACCGACTAAACAAATGAAATATTAACACGACTGAAAAAAGATGCACACCAGTAAGAAGAGCTTGACTTTGGTCAGTAATGAGAAACTTGAACAGGAAATTGTCATTTCCATTTACATTCTGTGAGTGTCTAAGTAAAATAAGGTACTTCAAACAAGCACTAAGAATAAATACTATTTACAGAAGTCACTTGTGTTTAAAAAATAAGTCAAACATGCAACATTATACACAAACTTTTGACTGATAAAACAGAGTTCTAATTTACTTAAGAAGCAGAATTCCTTCTTAAAGTGATCGATCAGTCAAGCTGCTGTTATGGGTTGTTCTAGAAAGATTGGTCACCCTTTTCTAAAGTATAAAGAAGTTATCGAAGCTATTTTAAAACAGGGTGGTGCACTCCACAAATGGATATCATGAATGAGAGGTCAAAGTGGCAGAGCTGTATTTATGATATTTACAAGAAGATAGACTTCAACAGAAATGAAGATAACTAAAAGGAAAAGGTAGCTTAAACCTTAAACAACCAAAAACCGTGAACCTTAAATAAATAATACAAAACACAGATGTGGAATAAAGAATACATACTGTATGTTTGCTGTGTAAATAAGCTAATGTACTGATGACTAGAATCTTGATTTAATCAATGTTCATCGACAACATTAAACTTCAAAACAACTTATGGCTATCTTCAAAATCTGTCAAGTATTTCGTAACAGTCTTTTCCACCAAATGTTGTCAAATTTGATACCAATAAATACTCACTAAACAAATTGTTACATATTTAATTTTCAAAGAGTCAATAAGTAACAAAATCAAACAAACATTTAACAATTGTTCTAAACCAAGCAATGCATGACAAGAGTTACTGATCAGAAATGTTTGGGACACACCCTCCTAGTTAGCTCTGTGACTGCATTAACTGCAGCACCATCTGAGAAGCAACAATGTCCAGAAGTGCATTGTTTCAGAAGTTTGCTTCCTTACTGGCTGCCTCTCTGGTATTTATGTCTCTCAATTTTGCTCAGATTCACCCATTTTTGGTCGGCACCTTCCACAGAACTCGTGTTGTGCATCATCTTCTGTGTCATCAGGTTATCACAGAATGGTTCCTACACCCTTGCTTCCAAACTTGACAACAGTGACTACAATTAAACAAGAAAAGGGGAAGTGCCAACAAAAGCATGAGACAAGAGCTGCTACAGGAATGTCCAAGCAGTGAGAGACTACACATACAGAGCAGCAACACTGATAGGCATCATAATCAAAAATAATGGAGGCATAAATT